GCATTCAGGAAGGTACACTCTTTTCTCTTTGCAGAACTTTACATTTATTTTTGTGCTTCAAAGCAGTTTCACAGTGCCCTGAACTTATAAACCAATTTTTGAAGTGGCCAATAAAAGCAGAAAAAACGTATTGTAAGCACTTATCTAGAGTAAGACACACACCTCACTCTTGTGTTTAAGATGGACACACACACCCCCTCACACACCCTCTCTTCTGGTTAAGATAGGTAGATTTTGCCTTTTTTTCTCCTTCAAGCCATGTTTATCTATAAAGCTCCATTACATAACAATCTTATCTAATGGACTTAGCCTTAAAACTTCGGTGATCAAACACAAGAACTTCCTACTCTTAAGATACCAGGTAAGTATCTGCAATTTCGATGTAAACTGTCTGCTTTTGTAAAATCAAGGCTTCTCAGTTCCTCTCCAGATCTCTGAATCCATACAGAACTGCTGTTCAGTTTAACAAATGTTTTCTTTTAGTTGTGTAACTCTGGTAGGAAGTGCTGTTCTCACATTGTCTGTCAAGGTCTCAATAGATCTCTAGATTCCAAGCATCTCAAACTGAAGTATATAATATAAAGTACAATACAAAGTGATAGCTTCATCTGCTGCTGAACTACAACTTCGCTGGAGATATAAAACAGTCATTTAATAGTACAAAAACAAATGACAATTATTTTAGCTATATAGATAAGGAATAAAACAGGGACTAGATTTACAGAGATAGCCACGCACAAAGGAAATACCCAAGATGAGGGCACCTGAATGCACGTCACTGAAAATCAGCCCCCCAACTGTTTAATAGCCAAGAACAGTTATATCTAAAAATTGCAAAACAAGCAACAGAAATAGCTTCATAAAGGATGCTTCAGTGGTATAATGCCAGTAGCATAGCTGAGCAGAGGCAACCAGGGCAGCAGGCCTGGGTAATATACTTAAGGGTAAGGAATAAAAATAGCCACTGCCACCATCAACAGTGCAGCAGCTGTCACTGTCCTGTGTGGAGCTGCTATCCAGGGTGTGAAGATGATCAGTTATGCCTCTATAACACTAATTACTCATGTAGAAGATTTCCAACCTAAAAAAAATGCACGACTGGTAAAGCTATGAAAATGCATGTTGCTATACACTGAATATTAGTGCCACATTACTGATAGCAAAAGGTAGGTAGAAAGGAATATTAACCAAAAGCTTTAGGAAAAAACAAAACCAGAAGAGTATCTTTTAGGAATGTAGGAACCAAAGGACTGATCCCTTGGTTATTATCTTGGTCAAAATTTCACAACTTAATATCATCCTGTATCATGTCATCACAAATCCACAGACTAAACTCATATAACTAGACTGATAACAAGGTGAAGACAAAACAAAGTAGCATGCACACTACACTAGACCTCCTTATTAATTCCCAAGTATGGTGCATTAAAATTCAATGACCTTAAGAAAGTTAATAATCCATAACTGCCTTACAGAATCTAGCCAAATAGTTGTCAGTTCTTGTTTTCTCCAAACTGATAGAGCAGATTTTCAGTTCCAGATAAATATATTTTAACACAGAGGGAGAGAATAAATAAAAACAGAGCAGTAGCCTTTAAAGTAGCCCATTGGTGCCGTTCTGTGAAGGTGTTCTAGTGACATCATACACCATAAAGAGAATAAGAGCAATTGAGAACCAGAATGCATAAGATGCTCATAATCCATATTCTGTATTAAATGCTGCTGCATATTTTAAAAATATAATATGGTATATTTCACTTAAAACAGAAACTGTCTATCCCACAATCCAGCAAAAGTAATAAACAAACCAAAACAAACATACAATATAACTTAAAACTACACAAAAGACATTCCTTCTCTTTTGGAGGACTTTCGAATTGACAACTTTTTCTGTTTTTTCACCTCTGGAACAGTTTCAATATTATAACTCCTCCAGGGCAGCTTCAACTCAAACCCAAAACCTTCTCAGTCTCATTTCCCAACTAAAAACAACCTTTTTGTGCTCCTCTATGCAAAACAAACACTAAGTAAGCATGACACACCATCTAGTCTATCCTATTTGACTCTTAATAACAAGGGCTCTGTAGGTCTGCTTCTTAAGGAAAAAATTGTACTTTCATCTAGGTTCTCTCCAAATCTTCTTACTCCATGTACATACTAATGCAAAACTACTATAGGCAATATATTTGCACACAAGCTTTGGAAGAGAGAAAAAAGGCATTGGCACAGATTGGTGGAAGTTAATTTTTGCAGAGGATATCAAGTAATACTCCGGCATGGATAGAAACACAAGTCTCCCAAAGAGGGAATGAAAAAAAAGATCGTTTTGTCTTATTGACAAAACCAATTCTCATTTTGGTCTGATATAAAAGATGATGTAATGGCAACTGCTAACTGAGCCTTGAATTGCCAATGTCCATCAGCTATGTCTACAAGGTTTCAATTATGAGACACATTAAAACACTAACTTTGCAGGTGTCAGGAGAGCACTTTGAGTTTAGAGGGATAAAAAGATTATTTCATTGCCTGCTGTAGGAAAATCTTTGTTTCAATTATCTGAAGCATAATTCTACTCTGAAAGTAACCATGTAACAATGTCCCCTTTTATTTCATGGGTCTATACTTTGTCACTATTCAGAGGGTATTACAGTACAACAAGTGAAGTTGAAGCCATGATGGTCCAGAAATTATGCATGAACCAAGGATTTGATATCTTTTATTGGGCCAACAATATAGTTGGGATAAAGACAAGTTTTCAAATGCATGCCCACTTCCTCAGGAAGCTCTTGAATGCCTGACATTCAGTCTCAGGTCCTGTGTGAATAGTAGTTAGCAAGACCCAAGGGGAAAAAAAAAAAAAAAAGTCTTGCATTCAAAAGCTTGTCCTACTTTACCTCAACTATGTAGTTGGTCCCATAGAATATATGCCCCCTAGAGCCTTGCCCCTCACTACGCAGAGCCAAATTAGCTTAGTTTCATGCTTCAAATCAGCTTTTTACTCCCACAAACCCAGCCGAGCCAACACAACTAAGAGAAAGAATTGAACCTGAATTGTGTTTGGACCTCTTTAAAAGAATCTTCTAAAGTTCGAATCAAAACTGTGCAAACCATCTCAGGCAGCAGGTTTAGGCAGATATCACTGAGCGCCTATTTTGGTCAGCAAATTGTTACTATTGGTGCAATAAGGTGCAAGCGAGGTTAGGTCTAAGACTGGAAGCTGAGTTTGCAAGGACAGTACGCAGGAAAAAGCTTTTTGCTTGTTTGATTTTTTTACTTTCAAATTAATCACATTTGCTCTGGAAAGCATTAGGCCAATCAAAGACCTACACAATGGCATTTTAAGGTCACTTTTCAAATTAGAAACACATACTAGAAGTTCAGTGCCAGCTTGTAGCAACTTGTATGGAACTTACAGGAGAAGCAGCCTCTTAAATCACTCAAGTGTTGTGATGATTCCACAGAATTTGACAATGTTTTAAAAATTATTCTCCCACCATGGCCTGGATCTCTGGCTAATAAACTAAGGCAGTTACTCATAGGTACATAGACTAAAGAAACTGAATTCAGAACATCAGTGGGCCAGAAGTACATAACCTAGGTACAAACAAGGCATGTCAAAGGCCACTATGAGTAGGGATCTACCTAATTTGCAACAGCTGCCTCTGGATTTTGCAGTCCTGGTGCTGTCAGGTGTCATTTTCACAGTGGTGCACAGTGGGTCCCCCCATGCCTCTGACCAAAGGGCCCTGGAAACCCCACCTCTCCCTGGAGATTAACAGATGGCTTTGTCTCTCTCTCCAGGGAGGAGCAGGACTTCCAGGGACCTTGGCCAGAGCACTCTGCCACAAAACTCTCCCGCATCTCTTCTCCCGACCCCTCCACCATGCTTCAGGTTGCCAGGGCTTCCCATATCTTTCTTTGCAGCTTCTTCCCCTCCCCGTCCCCTCTTGCTGTATGTTTTTTGTGGAAATCGGGTTTTTTCAAGGGGGACCTACCAAATTTGTGGTTTTTGCAAAAATTGTGAACTGCAAATTTGGTAGGTCTCTAACTATGGGCCTTAGGAGAGCTGAATTAAATCTGAAAGGTAAATACTGGCAGAACAGATTCTCTTTGATAAACCATCTTAATAAAAACCAATTATATATGTGCGCATCAAGTACTCTTAAGGTCACTAGTATCGATGTAATGTCATAATGATAAGCATGCAACATACTACTGTTGTTCAATACTTAGTAGGAGTTTGTTCAAACCACATAAGTTCTGCACTTTCAAAGATTAACACCCTGGCCTCTGCAAATGACTGATTCATAAAACAGAGTTCTCAAATTCCATCCCCAAGGAAAAGTGATCAAATTAGTTAAGACTTTGCTTCTTTTATAGAATTTCCCCTGCAATTTACTTTTTTCTTCCATTTCAGAAGCACAATGAAAGAACCTGCCTGCAATTCATCAATTTCAATAACCAGTCTAAGCAGTTCTTGGTATCCTCCCTCCACAATTAAGGTTTCCTGTTGTACATAATGGCCAGAAATTTCAGCCCAAGGTTGTTAATAAAGTGACTCATCTTCTTAAAGTGGCCAAGCCGACATTTTGTTATTGCAGAAACATTCCGAATATGTATGACCTAAAATTGCACATAATTTTTAATTGTGTCCAATCTATTCATAATAGTAAAGGCAGTATAATTATGTTATTTTAAAGCCTCTAACAGTCGTGCTGAAAACACATTTGTCCCTATTTTTTCTAAGTGATGGTTTCTTCCTTAATCTGATTTACTACAGAATAAATACAGAAAAATACAATGCATGATTCTGCCTGACTCAAATAAGTGAATATAGAAGTAAATACCAACCAGCAAGATGGTTTTGGGGCTACTCTTTTTGTGATTATTTTCTGGTTCAGATAAGCTTTTGCTGGTACAGAAGCAAGCTAGACAAAACCAAAAACCAAAGAAAAAAAACCACCTGAGAAGTAAACAGGAACTTTAAAATGCCATATAAGTACCCAGTCTTAAACTGGACAATATTTTCACAAGGAAGCAATATTACAAAGTTGTTCTATCAAAGCAAGTCACATATCCAGTAAATAGTCCCTACACAAGTTTTCCCACTGAGACACATATTTAACATGCCAGGATTGTGATGCTCCATATATACATATAATCTTGTATTCATATATTTGTGTATAAACATTTGTTAAATAGTACCCCAAGATATGTTTTTTTTCAAATCAAAATACATGCAACTGCTAAGCTAATTTCAGATTCAACAATACAGCAGAAATCACTTGAAAAAATTATACATATTAAAATCATGGAGTTGTCATGATCAAATGCTATAGGCCAAGAGAGGTAGTTATTAGGGCTGTGCAAAGCTTTGGTCCCCGATTCAATTTGGAGGAGATTCAGCCTGATTCGGTGGCCGAATCTCCAAATCCAAATAGAATAAGGAGAACTTTTAATCTCTCCGAATCGAATTGGAACCCTCCAAATCAATTCAGAGAGATTCGACAATTCAGATGTAGACACAGCTTTAAATGTTTTTCCTACATACCTCAAGGTAGCAGGCAGCTCATGAATGCTGTGATGGTGGGGCAGGTAGAGCATCCCACTAGAGTGCAGGGGCTCCCCAGTGCACTCAGCAGCAGACCTGGAAGTGGACCAGAAGCACTTACGGTACACTTCTGGGTCCCCAGGGAGCGCACAGGGAGCCCCCCCCAACCCCCTCCCCCCCGGCTCAGTAACTGGTGCCTCCGGTCCACTTCTGGGTTTGCCACCAAGAACGCACTCCTGTGGGACACTCCATCCGCCCCAGCATCGTAGCATTCATGAGCCGTGCCTGGTACCTCGAGGTATGTAGAAAAAACATTTCAGGCTGTGTCTACGCTTGAATCACTGATTCTCTGAATCAGCATCAAATCTTCAGATTCAGATTTGGCCGAATTGAATTTGGGACAGTGATCTGAATCAACAAATCAAGTCACTGTCCCCAATTTGGGCCGAATACAAATTAAAATCAAATACAGCACATTTCGCACACCCCTAGTAGTTATCTGTCTTAGTCCAAAGTGAGGCAGAAAGCATGGTAAAAATACACTTTATAAACTAACTGAAGCAGAGACATAAGCTTCCATAAGCAAAAGCTCACTTCATCAGAAACTAGCTCATGAAAGCTCATGTCTCTGATTCAGTTAGCCTATAAGGTATATCTCTACCCTGCCTTCTGTGAGCCAAATTCTACTCACCCTGTATATATGCAAACATTTCCAACTATTTCAGAGGAACTACTCATATGAGTACGGTGAGCCGGACTCAACCATATATTAAAAATACAAATAAGGCTTTCAAAATTCTTTCTTGTTTAAACAATACCAGCATTATGACACTCTTGCCCAAACGGAAGGTTAATCTGTAATTTATATACCAAAGACACCTGTTTAATAGATTGATTCCTTTACATTCATGAAATGGAAACCTATTTAACAAACAGAGCTATTATACACCAAATCTTTTCCACGAGATACAGTCTCAAATGTACAATAAAAGTCTTCCACATCTGCTAGTGATCTATGCCAGTTAAAACAGATATAGATATCCTGAGAATTTAAACATCAAACAGATATTGTTTACATCAAGCTGATGTTTTAGTTTATTATATTTTACAAAAGTAGCATACAAAATATGTAATGTAATATTAGAGGCAAACATGATGCTTACTTTCTCTAAATGCTTTACAATATCCAAGGAAAGACAACAAAAAGAACAGGGCACATAGCAGGTCTGCGCGGCCAACAATGCCTGCAACCTTTAACAAAGAAAAGGAGAGAGAAAGGAATTTTGTTTTTAATTACCAGAAACAATTTTTAGAAAATCTTAGGAAATACAAAGGCATATGAAAATAAATGCATATATCATTGTTCATCCTGTAAAGTGGTTTACTAAATAATACAAGGCCTTGGGCATTTACCATGTTTTGTGATAGAATATTTATCTGGCTTTAGATCAAACAGGTAAATGGTTTGGATTTAACTTACTGAAAGATTACTAATAGTTTAAAGTGAGAATTGTGAGCCTGACCCAAAGCCTAGTGAAGTAAACAGAAAGCCCCCCATTAATTTCAGTAGGCTTTGAATCAGGCTCTATCAGTATAATTCCTGAGGACAACTGTGAAGTTGCTAGGCCAAATGCTGAGCCAATGGCTCAGGCTGAGAGGAATAGCTGGGATCAAATTTTACAGCTAGAGGATGAGACTGGAAAAGGATTTACAATTTTTCCTTACCTTGCGCACACTACTTTTTCTGTCAAATAAATTAGTTTGTCTCACTAATGGTTTTGCTGAGGAAAGAGAAAACCCACGGACCTGATCCAAAGCTCACTAAAGTCAAAAGGAGTCTCTCTCTACTTTAGTGCTTTTGGATTAGGTCTTTAGACTGCTAAAGGCATACTTAGCTGAAACCCCTGGAGCTGCTGTGGAAAGAGGCTCTTTGGAATTAGGGTAAGAGCACCTAGCTCTCCTTGTCCCACCCTTATAGAGTAGCAACTCAAACACTTGAGGTTCTTAAGCTATGCTGCTCCAACATCTCGGAAGAGTGGAAGGATTCCTCCCTCATTTACCTCCCTGGAATTCCCTCATATTCCCACCCTGTTGCAGGGCACAAAATTTACAACAGCAAGTCTGCTGTGTTTGGAGAGAATGGTCTCAGTTCAGGACAGAGGGCTTGATCTAAAACTGACAGAAGTCAATGAAGATGCCCTTTGGCTTCAGTAAGTGTTGATTCTGCCTGCAAGCGGGAAAAAAAAAAGTGCTGGATTCTGACTTCACTCTGAAAAAAATCCCTGCATGGCTTTGGACAAGTCATTAACTTCTCTCCTTCTTCCTCCATTTTAAGAGGGAAGTTAATAATATTTCCTTGCCTCTCAGGGGTTTTCTGAGGATTAACTCAACAACCGTAAAGTGGTTTGAAGGTGAAAATAATGAAGTGCTATTCTGTTTCATGTATGGTTTTCATCTAATAAGATAAAAGTAAGGGCAAGCTGAAGCAGTTCTGCAAATAAAGGTAAACATACTACAAAAAAAGAGATTTTAGAGGCTGGCTCCTTAACACTCGTTGTCTTACTGACTCCAATGTAGAGGTCAGCATTTATCTGGGCTGGAAGTCCACTTGTGGGTTTTTTGGCGAACTGTTGAGGGCTGGGGGAGAGGGGGATGAACAAGGGGCAATTGATTCCATCTGGCCAGGGCCCATTCACCCTGCATCCACTGCTAGGGATGCCAAATGGAGCAGGCAGGCAGGGTCTCCATGGGGACTGGCCCAGGACCCTCACTGGCAGGGCACATTTGGCTGGGCACATAGGATGGGGATGTGGGAATGCAAGGAGTCTGGGAGTGGGATGGGTTAGCACAGCCACAGCCAGGGCCTAGATCGTGGGGCAATGACAGTGTGGGACTGGGGCCCAGGGCAGAGCTGCGATCCACTCTCCGTTGGCAGGGGCACGCAGAGAGCAGATCACAGCTCTATCCTGGGCTCTAGTCCTGCGCTATCACTGCCCCACAATCCCTGCCGTGGCCCCGCTCACCTGTCTCGCTCCCAGACACCACTTCCCCACACACTGCAGCCCCATCCCATCTGCTCAGCTATACCTGTGGGGGTCCAGGCCAGTCTCCATGGAGACCCTGCCCACCTGCTGCCTGGAGCCCTTGGTGGTGGATGTGGGATGGGCAGGCTGGGGTGCCCAGGCAGCAGGGCCAGGTCTGGTGGCAGCAGCAACACTGGCAGTGGTATCTAGAAAGAGCTGCCACTGCCAGGATTGCCCGGAAGCCAAGTCCAGCTGCTGCACTGCCCTAGCCCTGCTGTGTGCCTGGGGACGACAGGACTGGCTGCATGTGCCATGGCCCAGGTTGCCCCCTGCACCTAATCCAGGGGACCCACTGTGGACCAGATAAAATCTCTTGGCAGGCCACATCTCACCCCCCCAAGCCATATTTTTCCCACCCCTGCTGCAATGGCACAATCTGAACCAGATGTGCAGGATCAGGCCTATAACTGCTGGTGTAAAGTTTTAATTTTAGATCAGTCTTCCTAACCAAAGTTCTGTGCATTATTTTATCACTCAGGTGTTATCAGCAAATGCAAACAACTTTGTTGTTGTTGTTTTTTCTCTCTCAAGCAGCAAAAGCAAAAACCCATGGTGAAACAACAAATGTTATATTCACAGACACAACTTTTCACTGTACATTGAGAACTTTTATTTTCCATGTGTTTCTAAATAACAGAAAACAACACAGTAGAGACAGATTCTTTATGATTATACGTCCAATGTGACGCCTAATTTCAAAGCCAGGTTGTCATGATTGCAAAAAGCAATGGAGTTTTCAGCATGGGGAGAGGACGAGTGACTCACGTCCTGGAAGCACACAATACAATGGTTTGACTATTAAAAACGTTCAGTGCAAAAGACTTGTTTGCCATTGTTAACAAGCATCTGTGCCCTGGAAGATCATAGAAGAGCATGCTACATTCTTCTCCCCCCAAAATGGCCAGAGCTTAGATGCTGTTAGTTCCCAAAACTGAAAATTTCTCATGTCTACAGAGAGACTTCAAAAGCCCATGCAGGTTCCTTCGCACTATCAATACCTTATTAACATTTGATGCCCAGTTGAAACAAACATATATGTTGTACAGAGACACAAAAAGAAGAAAAATAGAAAAAGCATATTAAGGAGTTAGTAATAACTCTATAGTTAAGCTTTTAATTAGATTTGATTATACATGACAGATTCTAAATTGAACTGGGAGGTATGCTCTCTATAACGTCACGCTGAGAGCTACCAGTTGCCATCTTAACTTTAGCACAAAAGTTTGCACTGGCAGCCCCAGTCCTCTAGATGCAGTTCTGCAGGACCATGGTTACTGGAATGCAGAATACACCAGCCACTCCCCTTAGTCGGAAGGAACAGAAATAGCTGCACTACCTGAGAATTTCCTTAGGTAATGGGCAATCTGATTAGCTAACCACCTCTCCTATTCATTACCAGAGTGGTGTGGAGGGTCCATAAATGGGGCAAGACTCTGGCTCAAAGCAGTGAAATAAATCTCTGCTATGTATGGAAAAAAAAGTGTGTCATACTTACTACTTTGTTCACTCCCAGAGCAAAGACAGAGTTAAATTCAAAATTAAACTCTTTGGCTGTTTAACTCAGAAGCAGTTAAAAATACCTCCTTTTGGATTATGATTATTTTTAAAGTTTACATATTTATAGGTTTTAAAGGCAGAAGGGATCAAGATTCTTATCTAGTTTAATGTACTGCATGATGCAGGCCTTTGAGTTTCCTGCTCAGGTCCAATAGCTGTGATTGAACTAGGGCAGAAAACATGCAAATCTTAAATTTAAAAATCTACCACACCCCTCCTAAATTGCAATAATATTTACTCACTGTTACAAATGTATGTTATAGTCCCAATCTAAATCTGTCTGGCTTCAATTTCCAGCCACTGAATCTTAGCCAGATTGAACAGCTTTTAATTACCAAATTTCTGTTCCTTGTGTAGACACTTATATACTGTGTTCATACAATTCTTTAACCTTCCATTTGAGAAGGTAAATAGATCGGGCTTCATATTTCTTGCACTCTAAAGCACGTTTCCAATACTCTGACCACTCTCAAGCTCCTTTCTGAACCCTCTTCACTTTTTTAGCATCCTTCTTGAAGTGCCGATACCAGAAAGACACAGCGAACCAGTGGTTTTCAACCTTTTTTCATTTGTGGACCCCTAAAAAAATTCAAGTGGAGATGTAGACCCCTTTGAATTTTAAGTGTGGGTATTCACCACACATCACAGGTTGAGAACCACTTCAGTAAAATAACAGTGGTCACTCCAGTGCCAAATATAGAGTTAATTCAATTTCCCTACTCCTACTTGGTATTCCGCTTAGTTTTACATAAAGGGGGGAAACAAACATGATCAAACAGTTGTATTCATCCTATTTTTCCCCACCCTTCTTGCTGTTCATTGGAAGGCATGCCCAGGCATGTAATCTTTATCCAGCACTTAGTGACAGATAGTCTTAAAACTATAGTTTCTTTAGCTATTGTAATTACACTATTTTATTTTATTTTCTTATATAGGAAATATTTACTTCCCTGTAAAGTTACTAACTTACATGCAAACTGTCAAATATTATGGTTAACAGTCTCAACACATGGAAAGAAAAGCTGTAATACACAGAATATATAGATCAGGATTAGCTACTGCTGGTCTATAATTTTGAATATATACTATATTATAGAAGATCTAAGTAGGATGTACTTACACATTCAGTATGTACTGGATGTACAGCAAATAGTAAAGCAGCTAGTGGAGATGCTCTTGGAGCAAGGTTTAGCCTTCTTCCTTTACTGCTGTACTGCAGCCCACCCAATAATATTGAGAAGACATCAACCATTAACACACAGATAATGGAATGCAGTATTATATTGATGACATGAAAACCAACTGGGTGGAAGCCTCCAGCAAAAAGGTAATTAAGTCTAGGTAAAAAAACAAAAACATTAAGATTAAATGACTGCCTAGAGATATACATCAGGAAACAGACAACCTGACATAGAAAATAACATTTTAATACAGCAGAAACATTAATAATGTTGAAAAGATCCACTGCATAGTTGCAGTCATGGCCAGGCATCCCCCATGCTGAATCTACAAAGTTATTTTCCAGAGAGAAGATTTTCCTGTGGAATTGGACTCATACCCTTGGACCATTTGTCCTTCGCAAAAGTCACCCCTGAAAGAATTGCTGCCAGATGCCAACTGGGAGCAGCAACGATGGCTGCTTTTTGGTATCATGTGCAGCACTGTGAAACATGAAACCTTGCATAATGTTGAAAGTAGGAGTCCTACATGGTAAGCAGCCCAAACAACTGGGAAAGAGCTCATGAGCTTATGAGTGTAGATAGATCTGCCCTGTTTTCAGTGATTTTGGGAGCATTGCTCTCAAGCATGCCTCAGCCTACTCTCCCCTGCTCCACAAATGTGCAGCATGCAAAGAGAGAATGAAGCTGATCTAGGTTGGGGTGTCAACTGTCACCGCTCTTTAAATGTCTTTCTTTCCTATGCTTGAAAGTGGCAGCAGGAGACACTCTCGGAACAGACTTCATTCCTAGAATGCGCAGGAGTGGTACAGGGGTGTGTGGAAGGACCAGCTTTGAGTGGTGTTTCTGCAGGACCCTCAGGACTCTTAACTGCATATCCTAAGAGCCCATAAAATAGGGGGCCAGAATTGGAACGATGGAGTAAAGCAAGTGTTCTTTTAACCTGAGAGAGAAATCCATCCTGCCCTAACACAGAGGTCCTAACTAATCTGCACAGAGATTAAAGATTTTAATAAGCAATGGAATTTGTCATAGCATGCTTAGTCACAATTTTCCTCATTACCGGTAGCCATCAGGCAGCTAAGTTTTCACTCTAGACCTTGGTAGTGGCTGAATGTTATTGGTGTTGTGCACACAGAGGTAGTGATGTACTTTGACATCTTTAAAGATGAAAATCATAGAGAAATAGGGCTGGAAGGGACTTCAGGATATCACCCACTTCAACCTCCTGCTTAGAGCAGAACATTCAGACAAATGTTTGTTTAACCTGCACTTAAAGATCTCCAATGACAGATTCCACCGTCTCTTCAGGTAATCTATTTCAGCGCTTAGCCATCCTCAGAACCTAAAAAGTTCTTCCTAATATCCAACATAAGTCTTGCTTGCTGCCATTTAAGCCTATTACCACTTGTCCAGTGCCCAGTAATAACTATTATTTAAAGGATGTAGGTGGAAGCAGAATTCTGCTGGGGACAAAAGGTGGCAGTCAGGAAGGACAGCTGGAAAAAGGAATGTGTGGGCCAGAATGTTTAGTTAAAGATTCAGTCCAAGAGCCTATTTTCTATAGGAAATTTTAAAAAGGAGGGAATGGAAAGTGTGTCCCATAAATTTCTACAGAATATTAGCAATAGGCTAAAGACTTCAAAACCTTAATTTGGATAATGGGTTTCATGTATTTTGTGCAGCTGACTTGAGTCTTGCTTAACTGAAATCCTGTATGAAGAACATTACATTATAAATGTGTAATACACATACAGCAAAGGCTTAAGGTAGTTTAGAAGCCAATTTCCTATTTTCTCAGTAAGGTGTTATTTCCTCATCTCCACATGATTGTCTATGGTTTCAATTTTTTAAATAATTGTGCCTAAGTTTCTGTTTAAGTTACCCAGGGCAAGTGCATACCCATGTACTTTCTGACAGTTAAGCTGACTTAAGTGTCAGAGCGTACACACGTATGTGGAGCAGAATCAACTTAAATGTGGCACAAGATAATACACCTCCAAGGTGAGTTGCATTAGTTAAGTCAACTTAGCTCACAAGATGGTTTCCACCATGTCAAGGAGCTGTACGTCTGTACTCTCCGACAGCTTAAGTCGACAAAGTCATCTTATTTTAAGCCAACTTAGTATGTGTGTATGTACCCGGTCTTACTAGAGATAAAGCAAGCCTCAAGGGCTCTAAGGGAAAAGGAAAACATGTGCTTTATGTAATTTGGAAACCTCTAATAGTTTTTTTAAGCTCCCCACCTATTAATTTTATTTGTATGACACTGGTGCCAAAAAGGCCCAACTCAGACTAAACCCCGTTGTGCTAGGTGATATATAAGCACACTGTGCGAGATGATCACTACCACTGCATGACCATTACAGAGAGAAAAAAGAAGTCAAGGTCCCATGTACTCTCCTGCTCAGATTGGACTCTGTCTGCAATAATGAGAGGAAGGGCTCTGAACTACTTTACTACTGACTAGAGTATGTATACAGCATGGAGAAAGGAGAACCATGGACAGGGTGAAGGAACTCAGGGTTAGGTCCTCAAAAGCATTGCAACGCTTGGGTACCTAAATTCCTTCATGCCCTGATGCCTAATAAACCCTCAAGCCCTGAACATCCAGGCTCCCCTCTCAATTGATGGGGCAGATGAGCATTTAAATAGAACCTAGAAATCATAAGAACATAAGAACTGCCATTTACAGGTTTGGACCATAGATCCATCTTGCCCAGTACCCTGTGACACACAATGGCAGAGAGTGGATGCTATAAGGGAGAGTGAACTGAGTATGACCAGGGTTTTTTCCACTGTTCCTCTCTCACTTGCAGCCTCCTATACATTAGCCAGGAAACAAGAGGCAGAAGAACGGAGCTTAACATGGCCAGAGATAGATGCCTGATTGCCTGTAAGTGCTTCAAATCTCAGGTACGAGTCCTCTCTTGCAGGTAGGTGCCTAAGCCCCGTTTTCCTGGCAGTGAAAAACCGCATATACACAGGGAACAGAGCACCCCTGAAGAGCCAACAGCCAAGTGGTTACATTTATTTCCTGATGTGTAGGAGAGCTGGTTTCAGATCATGCATACCCCACCCGTTTGGAGTACAGGTTGGAACTTGGGGCTGCCACATCCAGGATGAGTGTCATGACCAGCATACTATATTTATTCTCCTGTCAGAGCTATTCAACTTTGTTTTAAACCAGGTGTCCTGCTTCTCAGGTAAATCCCCTCACAACTGGGATGACAGGAATACACATACACCCATCTTCCCATTTTTTTTTGCTTTGGGTATGGCTATAGATGGTAGTGCAATTGAGGGTCTGCAACCAGACCAGCAGTCCTGGGTGCTGCCTTTGGAGATTTGTATGCAAAAATAGCTGCTGCTGCAATGGCAACTGACCACATAAGCACAATCAGCATGCCAGGAGCTGGTGCTGCTCAGTGTGTTGGTGGCTGCTCAGGTGCATATCTGTCCTGGTATATCACTGGTTACAAGAATAACTTGTGAGACAGTTATTGTACCAATAAATGGAGCTTTTAGGCTAAAGTCCTTGCCTGTCCCTGGGGTGGTGAAGCACAGATCTAGGGCAACTGTAGGGCAAAAAGAGTTTTCCCCCCTCCCCCACCCTCAGGCAAAGAAACACTTAGTTTAGGGCTCTGTTGGCAGTGTCAGGGTTAGGCATCTTTGCACATATCCACTCGTAGAAACATAGGTGCATCTAGGGTTAGGCAGAAGCTGAGTGACAGGTCTGAATATATCTTTGAAACCTAAATACTGGATGTGGCATCCCTTTGAGAACCTAGGTTTTATTCCTTTCCCAGGACAAGTGAGAAGCATGGGAAGAACTGATGTGAGATAAAGTAGCTATGTACTACCCCTTACTCTAATGGTAATTTGTATGAACTTTAGCACATCGAGACAGGCCCAGAGCACAAGGACATTGCAATCTAAATGGGTACAAAATAAGGCACAAAGAAGTGAAGAGACTTCTCCAACAGCACTTTGCAGGCCAGAGACAAAACAAAGAATGGGACCCAGGTGTCCTGGTTCCCCCATCCTGTGTTCTAAACCATTAAAACCATCCAATAACCATTCACTGACCAGTACGGCTATCATAAGAAAGCGTCACAAGAACAGCTATCTGACAAGTACATTTAAACAAAGACATTAAAAAAAATCATTAAATTGAGATTGGGATAGAGAACAAAATGCAGTGGAAACCCAGGATTCCTCCTCCTGCTGCTGTGGGGAAAAGTACCAACTAAAGACACTTTCTCCATGCTGCCCTTGGGAAAACCAGCATTGATGGGTACTTTCCCTGTGCCGCCACTGGGTCTCTGTCCTTGGGTGGCTGGGTCCTGACACCCACTCACCCCTCACCCACCTGCCTCTGACCCAAACTGGGGCAATTTGGCTGCTGGGTCAAATGGCTCCACAGGCTGAATCTGGCCTGTGGGCTGTAGACTGCCAATCCTGCTCTACATAAAATTGGTGTAGGATGCTCAGTTGCTAAAGTAATTCAAGACACTCCAACCTGTGAAGCGGGTATACTCTTTTTCCTGTATTAAGTAGGTCCACAGGGCATTCTATAATAAATTAATGAGGTATGTTAATTATGATGTTTAATTATTTCATACAACTGGGCTCCATTCTCCATTCCTATTTGTTCACCTTCAGTTTTTGCCAAGGCAATGGTTTTCAAATTTCCTAGTCACAGAATCCTTTCACATCACTTGTCTGCTGTGGAACCCCTACCCTTATCCTAAGACTGACACAGAGCCACGTAACCTGACCCACAATGATGGTGCACCACCTCCCAGTCTGTCCCGCCATTACTCCCGTCTCGTTGTGGAACCCCTGATGACTTATCGTGGAACCCTAGAGTTCCATGGAAACCAGTTTGAAAACCACTGTGCTAAAGTAAAATTCAGCACTTTGCAGAGAGCAAGTACAAGGAATTTAAGTGATACCCTTATTTAGTGGGCTCATACAAGGGTTGGGTATTAACTTAAATTTCTTCTGCTGGGCTCTATGAATAGGTGGATTTTACCTTAAGGTCTAATCCTGCAATATACTTGGAAACATGGGAATCTACCTCCCTGGAATTTATTGTAAGATCAGGACTTTGGTGCAAGTTTAACCTTCTTCCATACTTCAAACAGAATTCCACCTCCCTCAAAGTCTGTCCCCCACCAAAACCAGTTGAAAAAAATGAAAACCCCAGATCAAATGCTAAGGGCACTCTCACCTGAAGGTTAGGACAGTAAGTGGTCGATATGATTTGTGGCTGGTATTGCTGCTGAGTTTGCTACCCCAAAAGTCGTGATGCCATAGGTCGCCAAGGGGGGTTTCTGCCCTGAGGTCCTAAAAGAAGATATTTGTTAACATCAGCACTGTTAACACTCCTGTTTGGTTAGAGGCAGCTGGATTGAGAACAACTACATACAAATGTAAACAGGCACTAACAGGACCACATTTTAAAGCATTTGATATAAAATATTGCCTATGTGGTTGACTGGACAGCTAATAGAAATTGCCCTGGGGTCT